GAATCATGGTGGGTGTGTTTTTTTGGACAGTGTTACATGAGGCAGCTTCTCACCGGGCTTCACTATTGTCATGTAAATCAAGTACTGCATAGAGATATAAAAGGTAACTTAAAAGTCACTATTTATTGATTTCCCTTCTTTCTTATTCTTTTTTTGCTGTCTAGCTAATTGATTTCATGTTTTTGCTGCAGGCTCAAATCTGCTTATTGACAATGAAGGAAATTTGAAGCTTGCAGATTTTGGGCTTGCCCGATCATTTTCTAACGATCACAATGCAAATCTAACAAATCGTGTCATTACCTTATGGTACAGGTAGATAGCTCTGCTGATCATGAAAAGTTCGAATTTAACTTGCAGAAACTTGTTCTTGTCATATCATCTACATTTCTCTGTATTTTTCATATGCACATAACTCTTCTTTCAATTATTAGAATTGTGGCCTTGAACTGAAAGGTTGTTGGTTGCACATACTTTTGATTATCATTAATTTACAGACCTCCTGAATTGCTGCTTGGGTCGACCAAATATGGTCCAGCTGTAGATATGTGGTCTGTTGGTTGTATATTTGCAGAGCTTCTGCATGGGAAGCCAATATTCCCTGGGAAGGATGAGGTAGGGGCTTTTCTATGCAATTTGTATGCTTAAAGAAAAGAGAGGAGACTCAATACTGTCGTAATATGCTTTATTTATTTATTTTATTTTATTTATTTATTATTATTTTTTTTTATGGTTTAAGTAAATGAATAACTGTATTATATTCACACCAAGTTCAAACGGTCATATTGTACTAATCTCTTGGCGCGAACTGTCCAATTTCATTCTGTTCGGGCAAAAGTAAATTTCAGTTGACTAGATTTGCGATCTATTTTAGTTTGTTCTTTAAATTCTGATACATTTGTTGTCCTATGTTTTCATTATTATATGTGGTGTCCACATCATATGCATGAGTTGTAACTTCGTAATAAATTTGTCATTTCCTCATGATGGTACTCCTGAATGTTGGACTCCAACTGATAAACAAGATAAGAAGCATTTTTCCACCCTGCACGACTCAAATTCAATCACTTACGTGAACAATATTTTTTAAGCTACTTGTGGATCTGAGTATAACTTAATGAATAAGATACTTTTTACCACTCTAAAAGGCCAATAGTTTAAACCTTACTCCACAATTGCTGAACTAATGAAATAATTATGAGGTCATTTTTACTGGTGCAGTAACCTTCAAGTAACTGTTAATCAAATTGCAGATACCTATAAATTATCAAATATAATTAATTACTTGGGGCCTTCTATTTTTTATTGTAGTCAAAAGTAGTTTGTTTCTTAATTTTATGTCTGTCTGTTATGTGTGGCATATTAAATGTATGTTTTTGGAATCACCTGACTCTCGAGGTTATAAATGGTTTGAAACCTTTTATGGTCATAAGTTTATGATGTAGTGTAATTACCAATGCAGTTTTCTTGGAACAGAGTAAATTTGGTTATTGTCTGCCGAATTTTTTTGTGAAACGACTTTATTTAAGGTCTTTGCCACTTCTCAAAATAGGATTTATGCATTTTGAATGACAATATATGCTTCTTGCTAGTTCTCAATCATTCTTCGTCTCCCCCAAACTTTCTGTCAAATTTGAACCTTGTTTACCTACAAGTTTCACTTGAATATCGTGTATGTTTATTTTTATGTATATTCACATCTGCATTAGATTTATGTATGATGTATTCTTTATATATATATATATATTGTAGTGCCTCTTTGAAAAGGGCCCTCACTCTTTTTTGCACCTCGAGCTTTAAAAGTTAAAAAGCCTTGAATTGTCGAGTTCTATGAGTTTGTTAAAACAGGCGTCCTTAAGCCTTTTTGTTAATTATTGTAGCCGGAGCAATTAAATAAGATCTTTGAGCTATGTGGTGCTCCAGATGAAGTCAATTGGCCCGGGGTTTCTAAAATCCCTTGGTACAACAATTTTAAGCCCACAAGACCAATGAAGAGACGTATTAGAGAAGTTTTCAGGCAGTAAGTTCAGCTGGTGCCTTACTTTTTTAGTGCATTGTAATTCATATCATCAACCTATATTCTCATTTATGCCTTTGATAATTTTGTTGTTTGTAGCTTTGATCGTCATGCTTTAGAACTGTTAGAGAAGATGATTACTCTCGATCCTTCTCAGGTATCACTTTGGTCTATCCTTTTTTTTTTTTCCATCTTTTTTTGTCTAGATATTGACCACTTCCAGCTCAATATAATTTTGGGGCAAATCATGAATCCCAAACATGCTCATGCTCTTACAATTTAGCATGATGTCTTGCACCGTCCACGATGGTTGCATGCATGGGTGGAACTAATGCTTGCACCGGGCTATTAGGCCCCTTGGTTAAGAGAAAAAATTACTAAAAAGAAGTTTAGTTTTATTGCGGTGCTGATCTCTGAGAAAGAAACGGTGGTATGTATGTTAATAATCCCGTAACCCGTGGGTAGGAATATGCATTTTTAGACTGAATGCAAAATAAGACATAGAAACGTGAGTGATTAGGATCTTTCATAGGGATGTAAATATATATTTGGGGTAGGGGATCCAGAGACTGCAAAATGCTCTACTCAATATACTATACCCCTCGTATCTATTATTAGTTGATCCAGGTTCTGGATTTCTTTATCTGCATTCGACTCTTATACCTTTTCTCACAATAAATATAGAGGATATCTGCCAAGGATGCCCTGGATGCGGAGTACTTTTGGACGGATCCATTACCCTGTGACCCCAAGAGGTAAGTGTGTATGACGCCTCATCATTTCCATTTGATCTTCAATGTATATCTAAATGTTTTCTTCATATCCAGTTTGCCAAAGTATGAATCATCACACGAGTTCCAGACAAAGAAGAAGCGGCAACAGCAACGACAACATGAAGAAAATGCAAAGCGACAGAAGTTGCAACACCCACAGCATGCACGCCTTCCACCTATTCAGCAGTCTGGGCAAGCACATGCACACATGCGACCGGTACCCAACCAACCAATTCATGGGTCTCAACCACCAGTTGCTGCAGGACCTAGCCATCATTTTGGAAAGCCTCGTGGACCCCCAGGTCCTGGTAGGTATCCTGGTGGAAATCCCCCTTCTGGATACAACCATTCAAGTCGTGGTGGTCAAGGTGGTTATGGTAACAATCAATATGCTCAAGGACGAGGCGCTGCACCCTATGGGTCCGGTAACATGTCAGGTGCTGGTCCTCGAGGTGGAGCTGGAGGTGGCAGTAGTTATGGCATGGGAGCTCCAAATTACCCACAGAATGGTCCATATCCTGGTAGTTCTGGCACTGGCCGTGGCTCCAATGTGATGGGTGGAAACCGGAACCAACAATACGGGTGGCAACAGTAACGATATGATTGCAACTGCATTTTGTGTCTTCAGAATTACGTAATTTGATCAAACATGCTCAAGTTTTTTTCCATCCTCTATACTCTTCATATAATTAGTCATACAAATGGTTAGAGAAAAGCCTTGGGTGCTTGTGAGCTCGAATGGCTGTTTCATAAAATTAATGTATGCGAGCGGATCAGCTTTTTCTTTGATTTTTCCTTGCGATATTTGATTGCAAATGAGATGTGAAATTAATTTAGTACTGTGCTAACAGGTAGTACAAGCAAATAGTTTGCAAAATATTGCTTGTTCCTAAACTCTCCAGAAATGAGATGTCCAATGTTTTGGCAGCTTGTTATAGGAGGCGATCAGGAGGAAGCATTGAGGAACCGTAGAAGGTAAAATGTGCGAAGTTTCAGCTGCAAATTTCCTCAAAACTTTCCTTCCCGTCTAATGAACTGTTCTGTATATCTCAAACTCCAACCCCATATGTTTTTGGAAGTGTCCATCTAAGTCATGATGAGATCAGAAGTTGGGTTCAGAACAGCTGAGCATTAAGAAAGTCGTTTGGTGTTTGAAATAGTAATGTAATGGAAGACAATCGACCAAACACACCACACCACACCACAGTTGAGGCCTAAGGAAACAGCAGTCATCAGCCCAACTTACTGATGCCACCTCTTGGTTTCTATCAACTCCAACTCCTCCACTAAACTCACATGAATGAAAGAGACCACACATTTCCCTCCCCCACAACGAACACTCTCCAAACAACAATGGATTTCACACATTCTCTGAAATACCCATATCCGCTTTCTATCGCTATCTCCTGAATTATGGGAATTGTTTCCACTTCAAAAATGAAAGAAACCAGTGGCAATGAAATCCAAAACTGGGAAAAAATACCAAAATTGATTCGATTGGATTGGGTCGGGTCGATAGGTCTAATTGGACCGATTGTCTCCTGCCTTGCATTACCCAATTGACGCACTTCTTCATACGTTCGTTTAGGTTGATTTAGGCTTCTATAACTCTTGATTTCATCTGCAAAGTTGTAGATTTTCGGAAGTGTAAAACATTTGCATATTTCACTTTAACACAATGTTAAATTTTAAATATGTATGACACACACAAAGGTTATATAAGTTTTTTTTTTTTTTTTTTCTTTTAAATGTCACATTAAAGATAAAAATACAACTGGCATAGGCAGTTAGATAAAATATGGTATTTCCTTAAGAAGGTATATATGTGTAATGTAACTATATAAGTCGTTGAAGTGTCGAAATTCAAAATAGGAAACCTAAAAATGCATGTTGAATGAATGAGATGATACAAAAAAGTTGTCGAAAATTTATCCAAAAAAAAAAAAAAAAAAAAAAAAAAAAAAAAAAAAAAAAAAA